AAACATATGGGGGGTCACCAGACAAATGGTCAGGTGGGTTAACATTGGGCCATTTACATGCACATACAGTTCCTGGACATGGTGTGTTAATTTGCAAATCTCCTCAGCAAATAAACAAGCTCGGTTAGACTCTATCTTCACAGAAAAATTTTCTTGTTAAAGGCTTGTAATGTCACGCTTACCCCTAACGCAGGTAGTTAGACACTACTGCTATCTTCTGTGTTCACCTATAGCAGTCCCCTTCTCCATAAGGCAAGCAGGCCTACCGGTACTCGGTTGCTCCCAGGACTTATACACAATGCTATAGTGCCTAGCCATACGAAATCCAAACAGCAAAGCAGGACTGGCAAACAGGCAGCTTGACCACATATAACGAGCACTATCACAGGCATGAGACCGTAGGCTTGGCTGGCTTAAATCAGGCTTGATCTTCACTCAGAGACTGGCAACATTATTCACCTTGCAGGTACACAGACAAACAGGGAGAATACATCAGAGCCAAAACCAGGATGCTGGAATGAGACCAGCAGCTGTGATAGATCAGGATTGCTAGACACTCCTGACAGTACACACTGAGTGAAGCTTTAATGGCAATACCAAGTGTTCATAAACAATTTTACTTTATTAACACAGTTAAAGCTGGCCAGAGACAGTTGGAATCTCGGCCATTTCAGCAGGGACTGGCCGAGATTCAAACAATGTATGGGCAGGCTGAATGTACCCAAATTGATTGACCAATCAACTTTGGTACAACCAGCCTGTCAGATTTTACATTCAATTATTGCTAGTGGATATTATAGCCACCAGCAGTAATCACTGTGTTCTCCCAGCAGAGATGGCTACCTCCCACTCCCTTCCCCACTGGGAGAACACAAGGGGGTTGACTTACTAATACTGGAGAGTGCAAAATCTGGTGCAGCTGTGAATGGTAGCCAATCAGCTTCTAACTTCAGCTTGTTCAATCAAGCTTTGAAAAAAAACTGAAAATTGATTGGTTTGTATGCAGAGCTGCACCAGTCTCTAGCTTTAGTAAATCAACCCCACTGGCTTCGTGGGGGGGGGGGGGGGTGTTCCCACATCAACACTGGCTGTGTTGATGAGGGAATTAAGGCAGATTGCAGGAATGAATATTGCTCCATCTATGGCCGGTTTAACACCATTACTGGGAACTTAACCAAAGGACATCTTGTAGGGGTAATCTTAAAGTGTTACTAAGCCCACAACAATAAAATCAGTCTGTATATGCAGTAAAGCATGCTTGTTATACTCACTGTGGAACCTAAGGGGTTATTCCTCTGCATTGTGTAAAAAGGCTGTTTGGTCCTGTTTTCTTTGCCCCTCCTCTTGTTCAAATGTCCACCTGATAAGACAGACTGAACCCGTAGTCACATGCACATGCTCAGTTTGATGTGTATTGCTAGAGAGTTTTTTTTACTTGGGAGAGTGCATGTGATCAGCACAGGACCAATCAGCACTGTCCAGACAGAGGGTCAGGGGTTTTGCATCCTCCTACAGCAGAAAAAAAACTCCTCCTACCAGCTTTAACCAGTGTTCTGCTGAAGTCACAAGACTGCTCTAACTGCTGATGAGAAAAGGTATTTAGCAGTTTATATTTACTAAAATAATTGCAGTTTCATGTTCTGTGTACTGTGGGAGACCAAATATAGTGAATGCGGGGCCCTGGGTTTAGTATCACTTTAACTTTGAGATTATTATAGGGATCAGTCTTAATGTCCTTTACCTAAGATACCTGTAGACATGACATCATCATTTCCCAATCCAGCTGATTATGAATAGTTGAGAAAAGCATTATATGTCTATGAACACAGTACAACCCCTGGCTCCATGGCTGATTGATCTTTATGAACACCAATATTGGGCTCAATGGATTTTCCCAAGTGATTACTATTGTTGCAACAATACCCCTTTGCTGGGGTATTTACTCCACCTAACGCAGTGACAAGTAGAAATACATTGTTTTCAATAGGCACCTGTGAAGAATCCGAAGTACATGTTACATGCCTCAATACGTGCTGAGTTCAATACATGGAGTAATTCCAACCTAAGAAAAAAGTAACATATTAGCCTACAACCTTATAGCTTTGGAAATTACACAACGTGGGGTGTATCTATCAGTAAAAAGCAGTAAGGACCCACAAATATTTCATATTATTAAAAATTAACTCTTCCATTTCCAAGCATAAACATGGTGGGACCTTCACAATCTGCTGCATTGGCTGATTTCAAATGTACTCCCTTTTCTCTCACATGCATGCCAATCAAACTTAATAGAACTGTTCATGACCCAAAAATGTTTGATTTTTTTTAATGTCAAATGTCAACAGCTAAGCCCTCATCTCCACTTCTAATCCCAACTCCCAGCCAAACAGTAGTGATAAATGTCAAAGGAAGAGCAGAGGTGTCTTTGATGGGCAGGCTGACTGAGAACCTGGCATTACCTTCTCTGTTCTGAGTGAGAAGCAATATGCCTTGTAGGATTGCACCAATACTGGTATCGGTGCTAATACTAAGCATGTGCACGAGTACTCCTGAAACCCATTCCTTTGCGGTGCAATTTGAGTCCATACAAAATGAATGGGTTCAATCGCACTGTGATTTCAACAGGAATCACATGTGATTTCCATGCGTGTGTGGTGCGATTTTCAATGCGATATAAGCCATTAATTTTGTATGGCTCAAATCGCAATGCAAATAGCACTGCCTTCCACAGGGAAAGCTCATGTGATTCGGACAGGATCTGCACTGCATTTCTGTTCAAATCACAAGCCATTCTTTGCAGTGCGATTTGAGCCCATTCATTTTGTGTGGGCTCAAATTGCACTACAAAGGTATTGGTAATCAGCATTGGGGAGTACTTGGGCACAAAAACGGTATCGGTGCAACCCTAATGCCCAATATGGACAAAGTACAGGTCTATTTAATGCACGGTACTTTTTCACATTGTATTCTCAGAGTGTTCTGGGTCACAGCATAACACAGCCCCACAGTAGTTGCTCATTTCTGGACTGTCTTTATCTGATGATACTCCATGCAAAGTTATATAAACCAGAGACTGAAAGGGTAGTGTGTACCATCTATTACCACTTCAGCTGTGTGTCCCAAATAAAACTGAACAACCAAGGATCACATTGCACTGTACAGCATAGAAGAACAGAACTGCAGACAACTGGCAGTCAGCAGCCTCTAGAAGTTCCCCTGCTGACAGCAAATGGTAAACATGAGATACTCACAAGCTGAATTTTAACTCTTCAATAAGACACTAGTTGAATTCAATGCAATTTTACTTTGGATAAGTGCAGTTTTTCCAGTTTTTTAAAGTTTTAAAAGACAATGAATTTTCTTAGTGTTGTCTCTGCTAAGGAGTAATGCTGATTGAAAGAACATGGAAGAAACAGGAAGGGTCTAACTAAGAGGTTAGGGCAGAGGGAGATACCAAATCACAAAAATGTTATAGTGACTCTGGATGGGGATGTAGAAGAGAGAGCTGTTGACTGAGGGTGATACAGAGGTGAAACCTATAGACTGAGGTGAGGGGGATATGTTGAGGAGGGAAGGCTGGGTGCAGAGGTGAAAGACGTGATGTGGGACTAGGTGCTGAACTGAGAATTACAGGGAGAGAGATAAGAGCAGAGGTGAGAGAGGGAGGTAAGGGGGATGCTGCAGTGGTAAGAGCTGTGGATAAGGGGGATGGGTGCTGAGGTGAGAGATGGGAGGGTGAAGAGGTTGAGAGCTGTTGATTTGGTTGAGGTGTAGACAAGGGTACACAAGTAAAATGTAGAAGAGATCAGAAGATGGTGGGGGCGGGGTGTAAAGGAGGTGCAGAGGTTAGTAATGGATGGGGGGGATAACATGAGGGAGGGGCGATTTTTGCTTTGGGAGGTGGAGGGAAAGTTACTGGGGGACAACAAAGCATACAGATCTCAATGATAAAAAGTATGATATATATGTAAAAGCATAAAGGGTGTGGCATTTACTATGTGGTGCTAAATGTTGCATACTCCTTGCTGTCATATGTTACATATTAGCAGTCTAGAGTGTGAAAAGTACAGCATAGCTCACAGAGTTCAGCAGTCAGGAGTATGTAATGTATAGCAGAGCTGACAGAGTGCAGTGGCCAGGAATATGTAATATAAAGAGATCAGGAGTCAGAATTGTATAATGTATAGCACAGTATACAGTGGGAGTGGTCAAGAGCATGCAGCATTTGACACGCCTTACCGATTGCAGCAGTCAGGGTATTTTTATATACAGTGTACATTACATATTCTTGGCCATACTTATATAACGTGCAGTGTAGTACATACTTTGTACTGTTGTATCATGCAGTATATACAGTACTTATGGCTGCTGCTCTTTGTATGCTGGGATGTACATGACATTTCTCTCTGTACTTTATAAACTCCTGACCCCTGCCCTCTATATGCTGTTTTGTAGTTGCATACTCCTGACCAAAGTGTTCATATTCTCAACAGTTTTAGGTTGTTAAGTAATTCCTGATTATTTTACTTGTGTTTTCTTCTTTGAGGTAAGCTCTATAGTCTGCATGTTCAAAAAGCATGTGCTGGAAGAGTTTTTAACCACTTACCCTCCAGAGTATTTACCCCCCCCCCCCCCCTCCTGACCAGGCCATTTTTTGCATTGCGTTTTATGTCTTTTTTTTCCCACAAATGGAGCTTTCTTTCTGTGGTATTTGATCGCATATGTGGTTTTTATTTTTTGCGCTATAAACAAAAAAGGCTGAAAATTTTGAGAAAAAAAAAACAATATTTTTGACTTTTTGCTATTAAACATGTCCAGTAAAAAAATAAAAAAAAAATCTAATTTCATCAAAAATTTAGGCCAAAATGTATTCTACTACGTCTTTCCTAAAATTAATCCCAATATGTGTAAATTAATTAGTTTACGTGACAGTTATAGAGTCTACAAATGGCGGTATATATATACTAGACTTTATACTAGTAATGGCGGCAATCAGCTACTTATAGCAGGACTGCGGAGGGCATTCTGACACTGGGGGGGAACTGAATAACTGCCACTGACATCCCCAGTGGCACTAATACAGTGATCAGTGCTAATAAAAAGCACTGACACTGTACTAATGGCACTGAGCAAGAAGGGGTTAACATCTGGGGCGATCAAAGGTGTGCTGTGTGTGTTTTACTGTGTCAGCACATTGTTTTGTATTGGTCTACTATGCAGGAGCTGACAGGGGAGAGATCTGTATTGTTTACATACAGGTCTTTCCACTGTCATTGATACTTGGCGATCGCTGGGTGCTGGAAGGGAATCACTGTCCGGGACCCAGTGATCAACAGCAGAGGCTGCCAATGGCTGCGTGCCCTACATATATATATATATATATATATATATATATATATATATATATATATATATATATATGTGTGTGTGTGTGTGTGTTTTTTTGCGCAGCCCTGCTGCCCTGTAGCAGTATTTCTGCTATAGGGCTGCAGGAAAGCGGTTAAAAATAGTTTTCCGTTTTTAAAAATGAGATTGTGTTCTGAGGTTTATATGGGTCTGTGGGACTGTCAGTTGTGGCACAATATTTAATGCATATTTAGTGGGTATATGGATTGTGTTGAGGCCACATTGACTGTTCACTAAGCAAACTACATCATCATTGTCCATGGAGTGCCCAAGTGTGCCTGTAGGCCCCCGTACCCATTCAGGCACTTATTTTACTGGTGCTATGGTCATAACTATTGCCACAACAGCGCTTGTGACTGCCATAAGGCCCAGCAGCAAAGGGGCTCAGTTCTATCAATTCTACCTAGCTTTCTAATGAGACAGCATGAACATAGGGAAAATCATTTGAATATACAAAGTTGTTGTGAAAGCAGTTAGAATACTGTTAGTCATTCATTTAAAAGGGCATTAGTGGTTGGATTACCTCTAAAATGTACTTTACAGAATCACAGGTATGATTATGATTTCTGATATTAAACATATAGTTATGTCCCTCTAGGCTTCTGTAAATAATGTGAAACATATAAATAGTGTATCCAAAAACAAATATCAGACACGAGTAAACAGATTTTCACTTTACATATTTATTGTGGATTTGCTTGGCACAATGCCTGGAGCTTTTTGAATGTTTGTTCATAAACAGTTTTACAGTTTTATAAAACATAAATAACACTGTAGACTAAAGAAAAACTTCTGAAGGGAACTTACATATCTTGTAGGGGGGATCCTCACTTTGACATTTGATATACGCTAAGTGATCATTCTGAAGTTTCTCTAATTTAGGTACCCGTAGACATAACCTAATCATCTCCCAATCCAGCTGACTGTGAATAATTGAGGAAAGCAATATATGTCTACGAACATTATACAAACGCTGGCCCCATGGCAGACTGAAGAACTTATTGGGCCTAATGGTTTTCCAAAAATAATTGCCATTATTGCCACAAACAGAATTTGTTCACTTGAAAGGTGTTCTGTCAGGTTGAGGTCAGGACTCTGTACAGGCCAGTCAAGTTTCTGCACCCTAAACTTGCTCATCCATGTCTTTATGGATCTTGATTGTGTACTGGTGCGCTGTCATGTTGGAACAGGAAGGGGTCATCCCCAGACTGTTCCCACAAAGTTGGGAGCATGAAATTGTCCAAAATGTCTTGGTATGCTGAAGCCTTAAGAGTTCCCTTTACTACAACTAAGAGGCCAAGCCCAACCCCTGAAAAACAACCCCACACTATAATCCCCCCAATCTTTACACTTGGCACAATGCAGTCAGGCAAGTACCGTTCTCCTGGCAAACCCAGACACATCCATCAGCTTGCCAGACAGAGAAGCGTGATTTGTCACTCTAAGGAACATGTCTCCACTGTGCTAGAGTCCATTGGTGGCCTGCTTTACACCATTGCATCCAATGCTTTGCATTGCACTTGGTGATATAAGGCTTGGATGCAGCTGTTCAGCCATAGAAACCCATTCCATGAAGCTCTCTGCACACTGTTGTGCTAATCTGAAGGCCACACGAAGTTTGGAGGTCTTTAGCTATTGGCTCTGCATACAGTTGGCGACTTCTGCACACTGTGTGCTTCAGTATGCACTGACCCCACTCTATCTATTTACGTGGCCTACCACTTTGTGGCTGAGTTGCTATTGTTCCCAGTTGCTTCCACTTTGTTATAATACTACTAACAGTTGACTGTGGAATATTTAGTAGCAAGGAAATTTCATGGATGGACCTATTGCACAGGTGGCAACCTATCACGGTACCTCGCTTGAATTCACTTAGCAACTGAGAGCGATCCATTTATTCACAAATGTTTGTAGAAGCAGTCTGCATGCCTAGGTGCTTGATTTTATACACCTGTGGCCATGGAGGTGATTGGAACACCTGAATACAATGATTTGGAGTGTGTCCTAATACTTTTGGCAATATAGTGTATGTATAGATTCAGCTATTATTTAATGTACATGGTCAGTTTTCATAGACACCATGTTGGATGTTGCTAAATAAACAGAGGTAACACACATTGAAAATGTTTGCCTGCCAAAAGATTTGTTTTTTTTGTTCATCCATATTAATATATCAATGAATATATCATGAATACAAAGCTCCAACAAGTGTATTTTATACAGTATCTTGGAGTTCAGCTTGAAACGTAGTTAGAAAAGAATAGGGGTCGATACAAGATGTCCAGTCAGTTAAATGATATCGAACCCCTGTCTTTTGCCTTGATTTATCTTATTTTGCTTCTTTTTTTTAAATAAGAAGTATTACCATACCATTATAATCTTTATTAAATACCCCTGATGCCCAAGTGCATGCACTACTTGATCCCATTCCAATTCATGTTGTGATTGCTGAGCAGTTGCTCAAAAGGGAACAAAATACTTAAAGTGATTCTAAATGTTGGAATTGAAAAAAACAAAACAACAAACAAACTGTTATACTTACATTTCTGTGCAATGGTTTTGCACAGAGCAACCCCAGTCCTTTTCTTTTTTGATCCCCTGCCAGCGGTTCTGGCTTCTCCCCCCAGCTGAGTGCCCGCAATAGTTCCTAGCCTCGCTCCTGTGAATGGACATTGTTGGCCCCACCCCCTGCTCTTTCCTAATTGGCTCACTGGTTTTGATTGAAAGCAGTGTGAACCAATGAGGAGAAAGAATGTGTTAAGGTAAGAAACCTTCTGCCTTTTCTGTCTCTGGGAGCTAGAGATGAGCACCATCATTCAGTAGAGCAGGGGAGAAGTGTCAGCTCCTAACACAAGGCTTTAGCAAAAGAGCAGTCATTGCTGGGGGGGCTGTGTTATCTATCTAAAAGTGCAGTGAATGTTTACTAGCAGATGGAAGATAGATCACACAGCCTTACAGTCCTGACTGATTATTTACTATTGTAAATGTTGGGGCTGCTGCGATATGTGATTGATCTTCCAGCTGCTAGTAAACATATTCGGCACCAGCACATAGATCAAACAGCCCTGCTTGCAATGATTTGTTCATTTGCAATAGAACCATGGGGTTGAACGGAAAAAAAAAAATGACCCAATTCCATCCTCGAATATGTTAAGGGCGGAATCCTCATGGCTTTTTCATTGTATTTTGACAGCAGGGAGATTTCCCCTCCAATACCTATGATGCTGATGGAGTGGGTAAAATCCGACAGGACGGTTATACAGATGTCGATCAATAGATTGACTTCTGTACAAGCACAATGCCCATATGTGGATCGAAACTCGATCCATGCATGGCCGTCTTAAGGCTAGACCTATTCATTCTTCTCTATGTATCTATAGCTAGCGGTGCATATATGTTGTCATTTTTATTTACATTTACCAAATTTCTATTTATGGTTCAGTATCACCCTTTAAATATACAACAGCATCTAAATATAGTCTCTGTGATTATAATTAGTATGCACTGGAATATGATCTTTAGCATCAGCTACTGAAGCAGATAATGTGCAAGACTGCTGCCAGCTCAGCAGACAACCTGTTGAACAAGAGGCTGTATATGTGTTAATATTCCAGTGAACATTTTTTGCCAGCTATGCCTTGACTCACTGTTCTATTCCTATTATTTTAGGGATCTCAGCTTTACTAATCACAGTGTTATATCACTTCCCCTTTGCCCTAGGAACACAAGTGGGTGGACAATAATTTTGCCACTGAGCTGTAAATCCTGTAGTGTGGTGAGCAAAGCCCTGCAGGGTATTTCGGCACTGTATAAATGAATTAATCATAGTATTTCACTATACTTGACAGGATGTACAACCTTTACTTTGACATCTGTAAATTAAACTGAGCTTAAATCATAACTGTTTCCCAGCAGTAAATAGTTTCTTAAATATGGTGTTACAGTTCTAGGTACACTGTTATAGCGCAGATTGTCATAGAAAAATAACACAGTGCTATTTATTTCCCTTCCTTAAAAGCTGCATAGAGAGAGAAACTGGTGCAGACAGATCTTGCAAAATTGTCTTGCGTGTATTCTACAAGTGGCGCAGCATGAGCCAAATTCAAGTACAAGTTCTAGAGAAGTTTGACGCATTCTGCACCACTTTTAGAATGCATGAGAGACACTTTCGCAAAATCCATCTGCAACAGTCTTTATGAATTCTATGGAGTAAGTTATCATATACACTCACCGGCCACTTTATTAGGTACACCTGTTCATTTGCTTGGTAACACATATTGCTAATCAGCCAAACTGGATGGACGTATGTCTTTTTTTCAGCCAGACTAACTATGTATGTAACTATGTAATCACATTGCAGTAACTCAATGCATTTAGGCATGTAGACGTGGTGAAGACAACTTGCTGAAGTTCAAACCGAGTGTCAGAATGGAGAAGAAAGGGAATTTAGGTGACTTTGCACGTGGCATGGTTGTTGGTGCCAGATAGGACTGGTCTGAGTATTTCAAAAACTGCTGATCTACTGGGATTTTCGCGCACAACCATCTCTAGGGTTTACAGAGAATGGTCCGAAAAAGAGAAATTATCCAGTGAGCGGCAGTTGTGTGGACGAAAATGCCTTGTTGATGTCAGAGTTCAGAGAAGAATGGGCATTCAATATTAGCTGCAACATTCAGATGGTAGGATTAGAATTTGTCATAAACAACAGAAAGCATGGATCCATCCTTCCTTGTATCAATGGTTCCGGCTGGTGGTGGTGGTGTAATGGTGTGGGGGATATTTTCTTTGCACTAGCAAGGGGAACCTAATAAAGTGGTCGGTGAGTATATATGTGAGAACTTACCGGCTTTGCCAGTCATCTCTTGACCGAGCCTTTCACGGGGAATAATTCATTACTGATTTTCCTGGCTGATCACAATTGTTTTTGCCTGATCAAAGGTGTAACTAGACCTCACATGCACTCCTAGCAGTACTTTTATTGGGCCTCCTCCTCAAACAGAAAAAAATGCCATTGACTAACACCTAACTCTTCTACCAGGACTACCAGTAAAGCCTTTGTTTTTAATAGACATATGGGTATAAGTCTGTGCTGCGTTTTGTTGCTCCCCT